AGCCTTTTGGACTGTGCGCGCCCTCAGGGCCACCACCCCTTAATTAATACCGGCCGCTAGATTGGGCGGAGGCGGCGGCTGGCTGCCAAAGAAAAGGGGCGCAAACGCTGGACCAACCCTTGAGTGCACGCCCTAATTAACGGATTCATTAGCGCTTCCGATTGGTCGACGGCGATGCCAAATCGCGTTTTAATTACTGCGGCGAAAAGGGTTGGAAGGGTCGATGCTATGGTGCATGCGCGCGTTTCCTCTCGCGCCGGACTAATTAAAACCTCCAACTAATCAGCACGGCGCGCTTTGTCTGTGCTCGACAAGAAGCGAATGAGGGCGCCGGTCCAATTAGAACGGACTTTCTTGAAGGGCTCTTCCCTCCAATTGGTTCGCACATCTCCTTTCTTTTGTTTCCAGATATCTGGATTCCAAATGAAAATCTACTGTTCTAATACGAATGAATACAATAAGTAAGCTTTCACAATGAACTATCGACCTTAAAATCGTGATGATTTAAAAGTAATACAATTTTTGTTAAAAAATTACAATAAATTATTAAAATCATCGTTTAAAAAGTTGGTATGTTTTGCATACGATTTTTAAACAGCGAATGATGTAAGCGTCCAAATGGATGAGCCGAAGAGATTTACGATTGTTGTTGTTGTACAAACTGTGTGTTTAAATGGGAATTAATCATCAGAAGATATGAGCGGTCGTTTGTCAGGAGAAGAGAAGAGAAAAGAGGACACACTTATCCATCCAATGCTGGGCCTCCGCGTTTGGATTACAATGTCCCATTGGGACATCCATGGATGGGACCGATGGGGTAATTTACACTCTCGTATACCAGCGACTTTACACCGCTGACACAAATCTTATAATTTAAGATTGTCTGACCATGGGTGGGTACTTCCATGCTTACAGATCGGATAAATAATTACCCTACGTACAATTATACAAATAAATTACGTAGAAACTCTTTCATTTCTTTATTATTGTTTGTTACTTTTTCGACTCTTTTGATTGTAAATAATGAGGTGTAGGTAGTAAGTCGTACAGCGATGTACAACTCGCTAATAAACGGTCCATTCTCTTCTCGGAACGAACGAAACGACAACAACGAAAATGACAGTATTTTCTTATTTTCGAAATCTCCGTATGAAAATTACAACGCGTTTAAACCATAACTCACTCGTGAAGAATACAACACTAATAATGTACCGAGTCAAATACGCTGTTCATTTCTTGAATAAACTATAAGATTTTTTTTTGTAAAAATAAAATTATAATCCTGTTGCAGTTTTATATTATACTTAGACTATACCTACTTTACTACACAGTTATACTAATATACTAAGTTCAGAGTTTCATAAACGTTATATACAATTAAAATTGAACGTTTACTTCGTCTTGAAACTGTAAAATTTGTCAATTTTTCTTGCGTTCAATTATTTCCTTCCATATATGAAATTCAGAATATTTGTTCGTTTTTAAAAGTGAAATATTATATATATTGCTTTTTCTTCATTACCTAAAGTCCCATTAGCCTAGACATTCATTCAATACCGAAATTTCATAGACAATTGATGCTAATATAAAGCTAAGTGTCTAATAATATGCTATACAATAGAATAGTGAGTAAGGATAAAAAATAGTTAAAGTTGAGGGTGGATCTGGATTTGAAAAATTTGTGGGAATTATGTGATTCCATAACCTAATTCATAACCTAATCCATAACCTAATCCATAACTTAATCCATAACCTAATCACAACCTAATTAGTAACCTAACAATTTGTTTTATTATCATTATTCAATTTTCTTATTATCATATTTCTTTTCTATATTATGTTTTCTTAAAAATATTAAGTAAATAATTCATTACAGTTTATATTTTGCTTTAAGAAAATCCATTTGTCTTACTCATCGCTTCCATCGACCCCCGCACTTTTAATCGTAAGTTCATTTGTTCCATTTTCTTTACTTAATCACTAATAATAAAAAGCTTTCTACAATACATTGATGTTAGGTTTCCAACTTTGTGAGTTAATTTAGTGAAGTTTTCTAACTTAAACCAATTTGGGCAATTTCATGGGCAATTGTTGCTAATATAAATCTAAGTGTCTACTAATATGCTATACAATAGAATAGTGAGTAAGGATAAAAAAATAGTTAAAGTTGAGGGTGGATCTGGATTTGAAAAATTTGTGGGAATTATGTGATTCCATAACCTATTCCATAACCTAATCCACAACCTAATACATAACGTAATCCATAACTTAATCCATAACCTATTACATAACCTATTCCATAACCTAATCCACAACCTATTACATAACCTAATTCATTACTTAATCCATAATCTAATCACAACCTAATACATAACCTAATTAGTAACCTAACAATTTGTTTTATTATAATTATTCAATTTTCTTATTATCATCTTTATTTTCTATATTATGTTTTCTTAAAAATATTAAGTAAATAATTCATTATAGTTTATATTTTCCTTTAAGAAAATCCATTTGTCTTACTCACCGCTTCCATCGCACTTTTAATCGTAAGTTCATTTGTTCCATTTTCTTTACTTAATCACTAATAAAAAAAAAGCTTTCTACAATACATTGATGTCAGGTTTTCAACTTTGTGAGTTCCTACACAAGTTAATTTAGTGAAGTTTTCTAACTTAATCCAATTTGGACAATTTCATGGGCAATTGTTCTAAGTGTCTACTAATATGCTATACAATAGAATAGTGAGTAAGGATAAAAAAAATGTTAAAGTTGAGGGTGGATCTGGATTTGAAAAATTTGTGGGAATTATGTGATATGGAAATGGAATGCGTGGACGAGCTATATACATAAAAAATATATAAATAAATCGGTGGATGGAGGAGGGAAGATCTTGCCCCGAAAATCTTTTCCTGACACTTCGTTTTTGCCCTCCACTGAAGAAGACAAATGCACGTTTATTTTTCCTGAATTGTTTCCGTAATAGCACACGGTATGTTTCGGGCCCAGAGAGATGTCGGTTGGTCTGCGTGTGCGAACGAGAAGTCGTATTGTATAATGTATGTACCGAAGAAAAAAAAAGAGAACAGTAAAAGGAGGGGGCGGCTGCTGCTGCTGTTGCCGCCACCGCCGCCTCCGTTTCTGCTGCTGCGTTTTCCATATTTCTATATATCTATATACACAGTTATGTGAGTGTAGTTGTTATATATATATGTATATATGTATTTACGGTGAGATGTCAAAATATGATGTGCGCTCCCGAGTTTGGTAATGGAGGCTGGGCACGTACCCGCTGTCTGTACGTGTCACAGAGAACCGCTTCTGACACGGCCACAATCGCAGTTTAAAATTACCTTTCATATTTGGATATAAATTGCATTCCATAAACAAAAATAAATGAAATATCGCGGACGCATCGCTCGAACATCTGGCCGAGTCCAAGTGCGAGCCGCAAAGTGCCGCACGTAATTTTTACTAATTAATCTAAAAACATCCGAAAGGACAAAGAGCAACAGAAGCAAAAAGGATTATGGAACGTCGGTGGCTATGAAACGGCTGTGGTCTCGTCCAAAGGGACGCGCCATTCCTTCAAGGATCACAATAGCCGCCGCCGCACCGATAATTGATTTGTAATAGCCGAACTCGTGATCTCCATAGATTTGTTTCTCCTTAGATGGAAAATAACAGAAAATACAAACTGTCATCATGTAATCTCTTCCTATTTCTTATAGAAATCTATATCAAATTTACTACTTGAAAGAAGTAATTTTTTTTTTGAATACATTTACTTAAGTCCAAGAATTAATGAATATTTTTTTAGTAAATTCGTTCTAAAAACAAAAAATCATTTCTACAAACTTATATTATTATAATTGATGCAACGTAGATTTTCTAGAATTTTGTATAATTTTCTTTTTTAGTCCGGAAGTTAACAATTTAAAATACATAATGTGTTCAAGATTAGACGAATAGTATTTCTTCAATAAAAAGTGGTTTATAAGAGTAATTTTCTTAAATGGCATTTATACATTTTCATTTTTCAATAAGTATTAACTTTTTTTTATTATTGTATAGCAACATTCACATATTCCTATTATTTAACTAATAATATGTATTTCAAACCTAACCTAATCCATAATCTATTCCATAACCTAATTCAAGACCTAATCATAAACCAATACATAACTTAATCCACAACCTAATACATAACCTAATCCATAACTTAATACATAGTTTAATCCATAACTTAATAAATAACCTATTCCATAAGCTAATCCACAACATAATACATAACCTAATCAATTACTTAATCCATAACCTAATTCATAACCCAATCACATCCTAATTCATAACCTAATCCATAACTTAATACATAGCCTAATCCATAACTCAATAAATAACCTATTACATAAGCTAATCCACAACATAATACATAACCTAATCAATTACTTAATCCATAACCTAATTTATGATCTAATCCATAAACCAATACATAACCTAATCCATAACCTAATCCATATCTTAATAAATAACTTATTCTACAACCTAATACATAACGTAATCCATAACTTAATCCATACACTTATTGCATTGCTAAATCCATAATCTAAACACAGTCTAATTCATAACCTAATCCGTAACCTAATTCATGACCTAATTCATAAACCAATACATAACCTAATCCATAACTTAATAAAGAACCTACTCCATAACATAATATATAACCTAATCCATAACTTAATAAATAACCTATTCCATAACCTAATACACAACCTAATACATAACCTAACCTATTACTTATCCTAACCTAATTCATAAACTATTCACAGCCTAATTCATAACCTAATTAGTAACCTAACAATTTTTATTATTATCATTATTCAATTTTCTTATTATCATATTTCTTTTCTATATTATGTTTTCCTAAAAATATTAAGTAAATAATTCATTATAGTTTATATGTTTTCTTTCTAGTAACTTTCACTCTATTTTGCTTTAAGAAAATCCATCTGTCTTACTCATCGCTTCCATCGACCCCCGCACTTCTAATCGTAAGTTCATTTGTTCCATTTTCTTTACTTAATCACTAATAAAAAAAAGCTTTTTCTAACATTGATGTTAGATTTCCAACTTTGTGAATTCTTATACAAGTTAATTTAGTGAAGTTTTCTAACTTAATCCAACTTGAAACAAAATTCATTTAATTTGAAACTTATAATAAAATTTTAATTTCATAAAACAATACTTATTATGTAGTTTAAGTGGAGTGAATACTTGAAATGAATATTTTCTAACATAATTAATAACGTGACCTAAACCAAATTAATTTGAATTTAAAATGACTTAAGCAAACTTTTTTTTTGTTATAAATTCTATTAGTTTATATCTCAAAGACAACATAAAAACATATGAAGTAAGTGAATAAATATTCTAGCAAATAAATAATTTATTATGTTGAATTTATGTATACTGTAAATGTGTTTTTTTTTATTCGAATAGATTTCTCAGGTAGGAAAAAAAACAAGATTCAATTAAAAGAATCCAAACAGAATTAATCGTAGACATTAAGAAAATTTAAATACTTTTTTTCACTCTTCTTCTGGAGTTCGTTTTCCCAAAAATTACCACGATTATTTGTTTGTTTGTTTTTTATGTAAACGTTTGTAGTTTCCGTTAATGGGATGTGTATTTTAGTAGGTTTTTAATTAAAGGCGGTGATCTTGAAGATGGTATATAACATCATCGGGCGAGAAGTGACTTGTGTGTGAGTGTCGGTGTTGCTGTTGTTGTTGTGTGAAAGAAAGAGAGGCTGATGAGGATCAAGAGATGCGTGAGAAGGACATGATGATGGTGTGTGTAGTCGTCGATGGTCCCGGACCGGACAAAGCCAAACATAAATCACGTGTGCGTACATTAATTAGAGTGGAGACACGCCGTAATATGTAGATGCACGATCAGATTAATGTTATAAAATGGGCATTATTAAACATTTCGTATACGCATTTATAATTACCAAGACGACGACGGCTTCGGATGTGCCTTTGAAATACATGGAATGTCGCTTAATCACTTACGGAATCGTGTCGCATAACTAATTCTAATCATTTTTATGTACTTGTTCAACATGATCTCCGGAATTATTCCGATGATTTATCCATATATATGTATAAAATACGCTTAGGCAATTCCACTTCGGAAACTTTACAATCCTCTTAGAATACTGCGATGGTAAATTAATCTGTTATTACTTTACACGTAATTTAATACAATCTTCAGGTAGTGAATTTTGCGCTTTACTTAATTTTTGAATACTACATTTAATTACTCAAATATCTATCTTTAATTTACGTGTTTAATCTTCAATAATTTCTCTAAATTACTTCATTTTTGAATGCAAATTACAGCCAAATGCTACAACTACAACCCAGTACACTTTTTATTCCCCGTATATTCAGCTTCAAGTTCCAACTTTATTATTTATTCGAACTCTTATAGATTATAAGTAATTCTATAAAATGTGAAGACACTGCTTCAGGCTTATGTTATAAATAAAAGAAATTATATTAGATGAAACCGAAATTTATTTAATTTTGTAAATTTATGGAATAACAATTAATATGTACATTATATAAAATAACAATCAACAAAATAATTACAATTTTACCACAAACGCAAACGTTTTGCTTTATATCTTTTATATCCGCGTTCCATCGGATTGTACGACTTTTCATAATATTGGCTGCATGT